GGTGTTCTTGAAGACATAGCGGGCTCTAAGCTTACACCCTTCTCTGAACATTGCAGTCTTTTTTCTCTTATAAAATAAGAATGAATAAACCACCCCACCAGATTGGATTTAGCCATGGGAATGTGTGGTATACAGGAGCATAGAAAGGGTGTGTTTGTTAACTCAAATTCAGCACTTATAATGAATGTATTAAGCATTTATTAATTTAGCTCATTTAATAACCAAAATTTAAACTCTCTTAATATGTTAAGTGCTATTTAAAAATAAGCTACAATATTAAGTGGGAGATCACTTGCTTAATTCTGAAAGCTGAAAGCGCACAACAAAACCTTCTTTAATAATATTTACAATATGACAATTATACCCCGAAATATTTTACAATCTTATTAAAACTCTAATTAGTTTTCTCTCAAACACCTGTAACCTATATATTCTCCTTGTCGATCTTTTTTTTTCCTTTTCCTTGTTTTTTGTAACAAAAATATACATACATAATTATAATAACACACATAAACGCACACACTCCACATACTGCACACACACAATTACACACAACCGTATGCACTGCACACACACACATATTTACACACATGGACTGCACACACACACATATTTACACACATGGACTGCACACACACACGGCGCACACACATATTGTTAATGAAGTTTAATTTATTGTATTTTTTCAATATTATTTGATTATTTATTAGTTATTGTTCTTTTTTTTATCAGATGTTATTGTTCACTTATTATGTTATTCAATTTGTAATTGTTCACTTATTGTGTTATTTAGATGTTATATATTTATTTTGATCAAATATTTGTTAAATGTAGACGACAATATAATAATAGTGATTATAATTTATGTTATGACATATTTGATAAATATTTTCAAATTAAAGAGTGGAAGGGTAAAACTGAAAATTAATTTATTTTCAAACGTTAGTTTTGTGTAGTTACCAAACAGTTTAGTTCAATTTAATACTTAAATTTTAGTGAATACCAAACAGTCCATAAATTCTGCATTCAGTTTTTAGCTTTCAGTTTTATCAAACACACCACCAAAAGCTACATCTGAAACTTAAATTTCACCTTGAAATTTTAGAAGAGACAGAAGTGTAGAATGACATGTCCTAGAATAAGTTGATTGACTTGTCAATATATAAATTATACGAGACACAAATGGAGATATATTTTTTTGAAGGAGAGAGTTCTATTATGGGCCATGTTTCCTGTACTTAATGGGCCGTAGCACTTGGCGTGTTGCAGCTATCAGCATTAGAGTTTATAAATAACAACTTCAAGCTGCTCTATTTGTGTTTTTCTCTTTTCTTCCATTGATCTCTGTTCAATGTTAAGAAAGTAAGAGTGATGCTCGTAGTGTTAAGGGTGGGCTTTTTTCCCATTTGGCCATTCAAAGCTCATTTGGAGTTTTATTTGTTTGTTTGCTTATTTTCTTTTTTAGGGTTTGCTTCAGTATATACTAAAAAAATATATGTGGGGATCTCCCTCTCTCTCACACACACAAAATGAGATTTTACATGCATGGGCAACATTGAGTAGATTACATGTTCGGAGATGATTATGACTAATTTATATGCATATTGATCCAATAACTTTGTCGATGTTAAAAATTCAGAATGTGTCTAAGTGTAACTTGTCATTTGGGAACAGTCAAAACAGAAAGTTCAGCTATGGATATGCAAGCTCCCCTGGGAAGAGGGCATCGATGGAGGATTTCTATGAGACAAGAATTGATGGTGTGGATGGAGAGATAGTTGGTCTTTTCGGAGTCTTTGATGGTAAGCTACTCTCTCTCTCTCTCTCTCTACATGCTCTTTTGTGTTTTGGCCAAATCACTCTTAAGGTTGTCGGATCAAAACTTAGAGCCATCACTTTATACAATTAATGTCAAATGGTAGATGTGTACTCGATCTTCTCCTCGCAGATTCTCCATAATGGGGACTAAACTAGGTGTCATATTATGTTATCAGCACCAGGTAAGATTTTTTTCTTTTTTTTTTGGCAAAAATAAGTACTTGCACCTGTAAAATGGTCATAAAAACTCTTTGTAATTCACTCCTGTGGATGAGTGTCACAATATCTTGTAAAATCTATACTATTAATTTGGTGTCCACTCATAAAATACCCAAAACACCCTGTCTTTTTTTCACTTTAACCACAAATAATTTTTTTAATTTACTCAACTACATTTAACTGCCTGTCAACAACCCGTAAGTCTCATATCTCTTTTCTCTCACATATTTCTCTCCTTCAATATCTCCGTATCATATGCTTCTATATCAAACACACCAGTAGTTGTATGCAGGAGCCACTAGTAGTATAGTTAGTGCTTCTTTTAGATTCTGTTTGCCGTTTCATACTTTCTTCCGTAGGACTGACTACCTTATTAATCTATATTTCTTAATTCATTCCTCAAATTTGATCATTTTATGTGCCATTTGAGTTTTGTATACATAAAATAACTAGCTTTCTTCACATCCTTATATGCCTATAGTTGTTTTTGACTTATCGTGATTGACAATGACTTTTTTTTTTTTTTTGGGAACCATAATTGACAAGGAATCTGAAATGAGAGAACTTTTACCTTACTACTGGATTCTTCATGTCTCTCTCATCTTTCTGTGTATATGTGCATTATTGCTGTTATAGGTCATGGGGGTGCTCGAGCTGCAGAGTATGTTAAACAAAACCTTTTCAGTAATTTGATCAGGCATCCAAAGTTTATTTCTGATACCAAATTGGCAATAGGTTTGTCTCATTTTTACTGATGTTGTTGTTTCTATGATGTTGGACAAGTTCTTGCTCATGTAACTTCCTGGTTTTTATGTATTGCTCCCACTGCAGCTGATGCATACAGCCATACCGATTCAGAATTTCTGAAATCAGATAATAGTCAGAACAGAGATGCTGGCTCAACTGCTTCCACTGCTATCCTTGTTGGCGATCGTTTGCTGGTTGCTAATGTTGGGGATTCGAGAGCTGTTATTTGCAGGGGTGGTAATGGTAAGACTCAGAAGTTTTGTTTTTCACAGCATCTGATTGACTTGTGAGATTAATATTTTTGATACCGAGGAGACTACATATAAAAACATTTATGGTTGTCAATCCATCATTTATCTGTAACTTCTTTTGAATTCATGGATTCTTCTAAATGTAGCCTTTATCATTTATATTCAACATTGGCTTCATTGTAGTTGTTTGTAAGTTTCCTTTATGTCATCAATCTATACTGATGCAAAGACCGGAGATTTGCTCACTCTTAATACTTGTGCCAAAATATTACTGATATTTGCAATCACTAATTGTCAATTATATAATTCATTAGTAATTGTATTATCACTTGCTTCCTAAATTTTATGTCCACGTGTGTCGTGTTTAGTGTCAATTTTTTTTTTTGCACTGTTAGTTGCAAGTCTAGATTAAGGAGGAGTGTTTCATTAGATAGTGAAAGGCAACGTAAAATTTATCAGATCTCTTGTGAACATGAGATCTGAAAATGTGTAAATGCTAGGTGTTCCCCTTAACCTATGAGTTGTCCTTGCCCTTGGTGTTTCTGAAAAATAAGTTAGGGGCACCATATTTTGGTTGTTTGCATTTGAGGGAAAAATGTGAGGGATTCTATGTTACTCTGGATGTGGGCAGGTGCAGAATCTAGTCCTGAATATCAAATTTAGGTCAGTGACTTGTAATATATAAAAGCTAGCAGGTAAAACAATGAAGTTGATTAAAATTATGATTAGAGTAAATTAAGAGGGTTGGAGAGAAAGTAAGGAAAACAGGAAAACAGGAAATCCAGGATGTGATTCTATTTTTTGATAAGAAAAAAACAAAAACAAAGAAAAATAAATATAGTAAAAATAGTAATACAGATAGAGGGTAACACCATCTCAAGTCCCTTCGCACACTTGTGTCCAATGATTTTTTATCAAGAATAATGAAGTCCTTTCAAATTCTTTTGAAGTAGATGTCCTTAGGGATGCCAAAAAAGAGATCTTTTACCACATTTCATCCAAGGCAGCCATTCTTTCATCAAAGATTCTTTCATTCCTCTCCAACCATATCACCCAAAACAATGTCATTACAACAGTATTCCACAAGATTTTAGCTCTAATGGTAGAATTGATCCAGAGAAATGTTATAAAAAATGGATAAGAGAGAGGATAACTCAACAATTTCTCTATCATGCAAACTCCTAAATAAATTAAAATTCTGTAAAAATAGAATGCTACCATACTTGCAATGGAAATATTTGGGTTCTTGTCGATCAATACAACCGAGGAAACATACAAGCAAAAGAAGACTCACCCAGGCCCTATCAAAATCAAATTTTTTCTCCATTGTTCACCACAAATTTGACATTTTTAGAAAAGAGAGGATTCTTTGAGAAATAAACTTCCAATGACAACGAGAACATCTTTGCTCACTCATGTTGTATAGCACTCAATTTTGTTGAATTTAATATTTACTTTTAATCACTAAATGCCACAAACTATAAGGCTCAATGGGAAATCGCCAAAACCATTTAGCAAGCAATGAAATATTCCTAGCTCTTACGTTCCCTAAAGTAAGACCATCTTTATCTCTAGATCGAGTTATTACATTCCAACTTACCACATGATCTTCCCATATATCAGGATACTTTCAAGGAACGAGCAAACTAATGTCATTTCACCCCCTCGACAAATATACTTTCTTCCATCCATCTAATCTCTTGCCAATCTTATGAATCACTGGACCTAAAAAGCTAAGTTATGTGGGTTACCCCCTAGTGGGTGGCCCAAGTACCTTAAAGACCATTCCAAAATAGTGCATCCTAGTTCTTTTGCCAAGCTTATCAATTTGTCTTGTTGGACATTAATTCACACAATTGCACTTTTAGACAAATTAACCTTGAGACCTGACACCAATTCAAAGCATTTCAAAAGTGATGTAGTTGTATGGATATTCCTCTCATCTCACACACAAAAGAAAATAGTATCATTTGTGACTGTAGGTGGGTCACCTCCACTCTGCCCCTTTCATATCCTAAATCCCTCTACCATATCTGTACTACTTACCCTATCCACTATTCTACTTAATACATCAATTACTAATGTAAAATAGGATCACATTGCCTAAGATCACTAGTTGCATTAAAAGAACCTCAACATGCCCCATTTATTATCACAGAGAAGTTAACTAGATCTTAAACACCCCAAATACACTTTCTCCATCTTGATTCGAAACCTTCCTTTCCATTACAAAATTCAAAAAGTTCAAATTTGCCGTATCATAGGCTTTCTCAAAATAGGCCTTGGAAACTATGCCCTCTTTCTTTTTTTCTTTATATTCCTTAGCAATCTCATTAGCCAAAAGTACTGCATCCAAAATTTGTCACTCTTTCACAAAAGCTACTTTGGCTCTCGAGATAGTCTCATAACAAACTTCCCTAAGTCTCATAGACAAAACTTTAGCCAAAATCTTGTAAAGACTTATAACTAAACTAATAGGCCTATAATTCTTCACTTTTAGAGACTTATCATTTTGGGGAATAAGGCAAAAAAAAAAAAAAATCATTTGTATAAGTATTAACCACTCCATTCTCATAGGATTTATCAAAAAATCCTTCTAAATCCACACTTAACACTTCCCAACAAATCTATTAACTAAAAACAATAGATATTGAACAGAACTAGAATAATAATAGCTTGGAATCTTCAATAGGAAGTACTAGAAGTTCTTAAAATGGAAATAGAATTGCATTATTAAAATAGTAATTGGAGAAAGTCTAATTAACATCATTAGTACCTATGCAGCCTAGGCAGGATTAGATGAACATATTAAATCAATTTTTAGATTTTATGGATGAATTAATACCAAAAAGAAGATAAAGTATGCACCGGAGGAGATTTTGATGGTTATATAAGTACAAGATAAGGGAGGATATGAGATGATGCTTGTTGGATATGCATTTAGAGATATGAATGATGAAAAATATCATGCTTGGATTGAATGTAGTTTTAGGCGAAGCAGCCAACATGGATAAAGAAATCAGATGTATGTATTAAGAAGTCAAGACTAAGAATAAATATTGAAAACCCAAGAACTAAGGAGTTGAGATTACCCATTGAACACTTTTAAATATCCTTGCACCATTGTACATTAGTCGTTGAAATTAGAATATGCCAACGACTTGTCTTTTGAGAGTTCTCTATTTCCAAAATTTTTTGACCTCTCTTTTGTGCACCATTAGCCATTGGATTAATCTGACCAAGCTTTTCTATGGGGACTGTTTGCCAACGTCAATTTTCCCCTCTCCCTTTTTCCCCCCTAACCCCTAGCCCTTTTCCAAGCAGCCTTAAGATCTGGCCCCTCACGCTATCCTTCTTGGTTTCTGTTACTAAGGGTAAAATACATTTTTGGTCCCTAAACTATGCACTTTGTGTCAGTTTGATTCTCAATCTTGTAATTGTGTCAATTTGGTTCATCAACTTTTCAATTTTGTGTCGCTTTAGTCCAATCGAAAATGACAGTTGGAATTTATTAACTGAGATTGTCACGTGATTGCACTTGAGGCGCATTCTTTAGAAATTTTAGGGACTAAAATGATACCAACTTTGAATTTGAAAGACCAAACTAATACAAGTTGCAAATTTGAGGAACTAAAATGACCCCTCAAGTGTGGTCACGTAAATATCTCTGTTAGTTAAATCAAACTATCATTTTTTATTAGATCAAAGCGATACAAATTGAAAAGTTGGGGGACCAAATTGGCCCAATGAAAAGATTGGGAACTAAATTGACACAAAGCGTATAGTTTAAGGTCCAAAAAGTATTTTACTCAATTGCTAACTTCATCTAATTAACCTTGTCCCTAGAGTCTGACCCACGAGGAACACGTACGGTTAACCAAAGATTTCGATGAAAAAATGTCATATAACTGTGAATGATGTTTTGATAAAATAAATATCGGAAAAGTGTGAATGACTGTTGTTTTTGCACATGCCAGATCAAAGATTAGTGTCTACATACGATCCATAGTTGACCGCATCTCTTTGTCATTGACAGTAATGATATGTCTTTCTCTGATTATAATTCTACCAACACTTACTAATTTTGTTTGATAGTTTAGAAGGGACCTTGAATTTACTAATTATAATTCTACCAACATTTACTAATTATGCTTGATAGTTCAGAAGGGACTTTGAATTTTTGAGAAGTAAAAGGGAAGGCTTTATTATCTGTGTTATCTGTGAAGCACAGATAATTCATAGGAGGTGGTATGCCCATGGCCAATGCATTGATGCTCTAATGCATTTAGTGGATTTAAAATTTTGCACAAACAAGTCAGAGTGACTTAAAAAGGGGGAAGAAGGGGGGGGGGGGGGGGGGGGAGAGAGACCATGTCATATAAGCATACAAGCAATAATTCCGTGCTTAAAAATACTCTACAATGCCAAAAATTGCGCATTGATCGTACAATATTTATATTTTAAATAGCATTTATATATATCTTTTTCCTTTAATTACGTATTTTAAAATTAAGGTGAACAAATAGGAACTAAAAGAGAGTTAGGGGAAAGAGAAGAGAGAGGTAGGTAAGGATGAGTGAGGTTGTTTGATATTGGGGGGTGTTTTGGTTGAGTTGTCTTGTTTGACATTGAGGGCTGTGTAGAGAAGATGATATTTTTTAGCGGTAAAAAAATATTTTATGATGAATTTTGTATCATTGGATGAAAGTACATGAAAATTGGGTCAATGTGGCCCATGTAGAGAAGATGATATTTTTGAGCGTAGAAAAATGTTTTGGAATGAATTTTGTACCGTCGGATGAAAGTATATGAAAATTGGATCAATTTTGACCGTAGTTGTGCTTTTATATGGTTGAGAATTTTACTTCCTAGCCCTAATATTTGATAGATTTGTGGAATTACTTGTCAAGAGTTTTGTTTTTGTAGAATGTGTCGAAGTTTTATATGTTGACGTACGATGGATGTACTTTTAGTCCTACTTAGGTATCCTACCATATCATGTCCTTTTCACATTCTGTGTGCCTTATCACTTGTATTTTGTTCATTCAGGCTTCTGTGAACCTATATTTTCGCAACATCTGGGTCATTGACAGTGTATCATTTCCAATTTAAGGTTTTCTTAGCCTTTTCTTCTCAGAGTAACATATAGATCAAGAATTTGGTGCTCTAGGAGACTTAAATTAGATCTATCTCAGTGCCTTTTATTATTAGTTCTCTGTTTCAGTCATTCTTGTTATGTTTGTTTCATTTTGAAGTGGTCATTTATGATCCATCATTAATTAGTGCTTCTGTTTTGATAATGTTTTCGTTTTAGTCAATACTGTAGCACAAGGTGGAAGATTAAATATTGAAAGTGACCATGCATATTTAGCATAATACATGTTGTATTATTTTTTATTTTCAAATATTGTTGTTGAGAAATATTTCATCCGTGGTTTTTTGTTTGGGTGCATTATGAACTTCTATATTGAAATATCTATATCTAGTCATAACCCGTACTTGAAGGTATGATGTAACATAAAATCAAATTGCCCAAAAATCGATATCACTATATTAAATAATAATTTTTTTCCTTCCCTTTCTTTAATTATATGATTTGAAGCTGTAAATTCTTGTGTTCTTTTTATTGCTGGTCTGGAGATATTTGTGTCAATTTTGTTGGAAGTATGATTGCTGCTACTACTGCATCAACTAGAAGCAAAAGTGGATCGAGTAGGATTGTTTTCTTGTGTTTTCACTGGATGCTTATCTGGCTAACGTTGTTTTTACTGGAGAAATATTTATAGTCCACCGTCAGATGAAAACATGTTTTTTAATTACTTACAGCCTTTGCTGTTTCTCGAGACCACAAGCCCGACCAAACTGATGAACGACAACGGATTGAAGATGCTGGAGGGTTTGTCATGTGGGCAGGTAAGGGAATCATTTGGTTAGCTTTATCCACTGCGGATTCTAAGCATTTTGTGATTTGGCAAATCTCGTTGTCCACAGGAACTTGGAGAGTTGGTGGTGTACTTGCTGTTTCTCGTGCATTTGGTGATAGACTTTTGAAGCAGTATGTTGTTGCGGATCCAGAAATTCAGGTCTGATCTAAATTTGATTGTGACTACTTGGCCACATTAGTTGATGTGACATTGTTATGTTGGGAACATTCTACTTTTGAAACTATTCTAAAGTAAGGAGGGAAAATGATTCACAATTTTTCAGCCTCAAATGTGGCAATGACAGTTGGGGGAACCCTCAATATGATTTGTAAATGCTGTCATTGAAAATTTTGCTTATGCATAATTATTTCTTATTATATTTTTGAAAGTTTGATGATATTTGTAACTAGTTAATGCCTGTGCTTGAAGACACTATAAAAAAAAAAATTCTCAATTGAAAAATGAGAATTTAGTGAAAAGTCTCAAACCCCCAATCTCTCCCAACAAAAAAAGTTTAACCCACCAATGAAATATACAAGACCAATGAGTCTTTGATCCAATGGTACTCCTTACCTTTTGAAGACCTCCAGGGTTCAAGCCCCCTTCCCCCAACCCCCAAAAAAAAAAAAAAAAAAAAAAAAACACGGGACTTACAATCTGTTAACTTCTTTTTTATATTCTTTTCTCACTCTTCCTTCTTTTCCCTAGCACTATAACTTGAAAAGTAGATGAAAAAGCAAATATCTTAAAGATGGGGATTTCCAATTCTCTATGGTATCCAATAGTCACAGCAAGGGAAACAATGTGTAGCTAAAAAAAAAAGAAGAAAAAGAGATGAGCATATTAAACAATCAATATAAAAACTAATCAATCAAACCTCAAATCATAAAAATAACACTCAAACTAGAAGTATTGAAGTCAAAATTTAATTTTTGAGTAGTTAAAAAAATACTACATCAAGATAGACTAACACAACATCCACAGATAGACTAACACAAAATACCATTCAAAAAACAAATTCCCAAAAATTTCAGCAAATTAAAAAAAGAATCCATCAAACAATCTACCATCCACCATCCACCAAAATTGCTCATGCCTAGGTCACTTTCCAAAACCAAATCAAAGGCCACCATACACCAAAGCAAATAATTCCGAATTAAGATTGACAATGTTTGACTTTTGGGTATTCGAATTGATATCAAATCCATTCACATTTATATGTGATATGATTTATAGGATAAGGCACAAATCATGTGCCAGTCAACTTTCGTAATACAGACATGTTAACTTTCCTAATTCACTTGTTAACTTTTCTAATCTTTTTTTTTTAAAACTAAACCTCAACTTAGCGTGGAAGTCTTCTTCAAAAACTTTAAAATTTACATCATAGTTAGGAGGGATTTGGAGCCTAACCCCTTATTCAATCTAGATTACATTGAAAGAGGTAAAATAAAACAAATAATGAAACCAAAAACTTAGGATCTTGGTCAGATTACCAACCCGCTACATTGCAACAGTATCCCTTTATTACTGCCAAACTAAAGTTAGCCAAAAACCTTGTAGAATCCTTACCCCTTAATGTCGAAAATCTTGCTAGAATGAGAAAGAAAATCTGAAATTGTGACCAGCTTTGGCTATTTATGTGAATCTTGATACCTTTAGAACATAAATGCTGCAAGTTTGTCATATATCAATATAAATGCCTCTTCATCTTTATGAAAACAAATATTTTAAAACCATACAAACCATTCAAAGGCTTTAAAATGGACAATTAGAGACTTGATATAAAGAAAATGGAATAACCAATTTATAATGCCCATAGTTCTAAATTTGATGAATTTCCCTTAACATCAGGCTCAAAAAAAAATGAAAATTTAATGATTCATGGAGCAAAAAATTAACAGAAAGTGACAATGTCCTGGTTTCAATTATGTACAAATCAGACAAATAAAGCAAAAAAAAAAAAAATCATATCCCATTCAAACAGAACATGAAAGGAGTAAGAGACATAGATATTTGATAGATTTCCCGCAAACAATGCACAAAATTAACATCAAAACCCAACACAAATAACTACATAAAATTTAGAAATAAATGAATGAAGAGTAAGTGAGTATACTTTAGAACAAACATTTGGATTCATACCATCAACATTGTAAGTGTGCACCTTACAATCAATTTGTCAAACACCTTATATGCACTTTATCCAATTAACATCAATTTTAATTCAATAATTGGGGTGGTGGTGGTCACTGGGGATGGAGGAGCTGGGGCTAGAAATGTTACGACAGAAAGAGAGGATGCAGGGATTTTGTGTGATACGAATCTCTGTATGTGTGGGTGTGTTTGAAGTAGTGAGTCTCGATTTTTGTGTGGGTGACAGAGATGGGTAGGTTGGTGGTGGCTGCAGATAGAGAGGGAGAGAAAGATGGATACCTTTGATTGTTGTTGGGGTGTTGCCAGAGATGCTGGCGTCATCTATGGCGTGGGCTGTTGTGCATGGCTGGTCATTGGTGAGGGAGGGAGGGAGAGATAAACAGTGGCTGGTAGAGGTAGTGTGGATGTTGGCGTCGAGTAGCTGGGGTTGTGATTGTTTCCGTTGGTATGTGCGGGATTGTAGATGGCCGGGGTGTGGGGATGAGAGAAAGAGAAAGGGGGGAGGGGAAGGATTGGAGAGGAGGGGTCCTGGTGGGGTGGGCTGAGGTAGTAGGGTTTTGTGGCAGTGGGTTGGGCATTGACGTTGGCTTGATAGAAGCGGAGAGTAAACAGATGAGGGAGATTGGGTGAATGCAGGGGGCAGATGGAAGGATAGAGGTGAAGCGTGTGGGAATTTGGAAGGATAGGGATTAGACAGAGATTGGAGAAGGGAAGAGAGAGAATTGACCCAAATATGAATGGGGCGGGAAAAATGATCTGGTATGTCAAAAGTAGGGATGCAACTCGGGCGGGTTGGACAGTCAACCCTAGCTCAATCCTAGGTATATAATCTTCAACCCTAACTCTAACCCTAATCCTACCTTGGGTTGAGAAACTCAACCCGAGCACTGTCTGAGTTTAATTCGGGCGGGTTCGGGTTGAATTCAGATTAATGATTTCGGGCTAATTTCGGGTTAATTTATGGGTTCAATTCGGGTTGAGTTCGGGTAGAACCCAAAATAGGCTTGTTGTTCTAAATATAATACATATAATATTTACATAAATTAACAACTAATAACTTCAACCAAATTTTTAACATAAAAACCATGATCAGAACATAAAAACCATTGCCACCTGTCCACTGCGAGAGAGGGGGGAATAATTACAAATTCATAAAACATAATTCATATATTTCATTCATAATAGTGCACGATTATTGATCATTTGCTTTTACACCAAAAATGAAAACCAATGCTAATGGTTTATGTATATATATATATATAATTTTTTTTTAAATTTGTCGAGTTCGGGTTGAACCAGTGAACCCGATGCCTTAACCCGAGCCCAACCCAAATTGAATTCAGGTTGGAGTTTTTTGACCTAAGCTCAATTCAAGTATTAAAAAACCTTATCCAAGCCCTAATTTTTTCGGGTTGGGCTCGGATAGAAATCAAATTACCCAACTCAAGTTGCACCCCTCGTCAAAAGCTAGACATAAGTTTAAGATTCAAATCCTTTGTAGTTTATTATATAGATTATTCAACCCATATGTCTTGCTTTTGAGCTAAGACATTTAAACTAGTTTTTAGCTCGTACCTAAATTAATTATTCGTCTTTACTCTTCGTTTGTTAGAATAATGTAATGTTATAAATTTCTTGAATTATGATCTTGGGAAGATTTCTCAACATATCTTAACTTTACATGTGAACCTATCATTTTGAGTCACTTTGCACGTAAAAGCATTTTAGATGAATGCTTTTGCTGCACTCTTGCAGTTGACTGCTAGTTCTCGTGGGAAAATAGATTGTTATGGGGAATTTTAGGTTGCTATTGAGAGTGATTCTCCCCTTCCTTGGCTGCTACTTCCATATTTAATTGCCTAAATTTTAATCCTCTTCATTGTTGATTTTTTATGAAACCTGCAGGAGGAAAAGGTGGACAGCTCCCTTGAATTTCTTATCCTTGCAAGTGATGGATTATGGGACGTAGTCACGAATGAGGTTTGTTTGATATTTATTCTTTCAAATCTTCTGACTGGGACAAGGCTTTATTCGGTTTGGCTTGATTTGGAAGGAGAAGATTTTCTTTGTACATGACCTCAGCAATAACTTAGATTAAATTTGCCCTTACTGCTAATAATTTATACTTTCAGTTTTGGGTTATTTATTCTTTTTCCTTCTTTTAATGGGATGTACAATTTAAGTTCACCAGACGGATACTTCAATTGCTTCTCTAAATGTCTTCATGGTATATTTCTTACCCTTTTCTTAGGAAGCAGTCTCAATGATCAAACAAATTGATGAGCCTGAGGAGGCAGCAAAGAGGCTGATGCGGGAAGCATACCAGAGAGGCAGCGCAGATAATATTACTATTGTTGTTGTTCGTTTCTTGGCCAACCAAGAGGGATCTTCTCATAGTGGCTCTGGTTAAGTAGAATCTCTTCCTAATCCAGTAATTGTGTTTCTTAACTTGGACAAAAGATGGGATGGGAAATGAGAAAACTATATAGAGCTGTACTTGAGTAAAGTGAAGGGTGGAAAGATACTATCGTAGGGCTGTGTACTCAAGAGTTCAAAAGCTAGACATTTTCGGGCTGCCAATGTGCATTTCATATTGTTAGCCTACCAAAAATGAACAATTTGTCGACTTTAGCTTCTGTACTATAGAAATGTTAATGTGTGAATCTGTAAAGATGTAATTTCCATTCGAAAGTTGTACATGTAGATTGAATGTTGATTAATTAGTCCATGCTGCATTTTACACATGATGGGATCGGTTTGGCATATTATTTGAACAGGACTAAGACTTTGAACACTACACCATTATTTCAAAATTCTCCCTGATTCCCCCAACACACACTTTCCTTCTTTTGTGTGTGCGTGTTAAGTAAAATGCACTTGTCAATAATGGGGCAGTCACGGTTATATTTGAAGTACACAAGGAGATGCCGTTTGGGATCAAAGGCCCGGTGTAAAAGCAGTGAGCTCATCATTGATATATTCTACTAGATCATGGGCGTTTTAGTGTTTCTGGTTTGTTGTGGTAGATTTACTGTTCATATCCATGATGGCAGGTGTAAGCCTTGAAGAGTAAAAGCTCCTCCTAGCCCACTTCTTGGCTAAATAACAAGTCATATGCTATAACAAAATTCACCACTTTTTTCAACAGTGTTCTTGAATATCATTTAATTTATCATTGAATCCCAAATCTATCCTGTGTGCATATTCAGTAATTTCTTGAATTACGTCTAACTAATTGTATATTGCAAATAATTCCTGATATATTTCGAAGAATTACCATCTAAATATTTGAAAAAGTCATTGTTTTTCTCAGTTGAACTCCTTTCTGAAGTTGTCTCTAATATTGTTTCTGAATAACACTCCCCCCCCCCCCCTCCCAAAAAAAAAAAAAAAAAAAAAGAAAACCTGCCGAATTATTATTGTCTCTAATATTCAAGCCTCTGGACACATGCGCCTCTTCTCATTTACTATCCCACTTACTGCCTTCATACATGTCCAAATGAAATCGTACACGAAATAAATAAAAAAATGGTGTAGCAAGTACAAACATAGCAAAGCACGAGAGAAATATCAGATAAATAATTTTTTTTCTTGTTTGAAGAGATTGATTCTTAAACTTGACTGTACAACCTCTTATTTAGGTAGATAAATATTTATTATCACTCTTAGAGTAATCCCTTTGACAAATATTAGCCTTGGGACAAAAAAAAGAGGATGGCAACTCAATTTTAAATTGCTGGTCAAACAAATAGTCATAATTGTTGATGATACCAGAATGAAATAGTCTAGATCGGACTAAAGATAGAACAAGACAGTGTTCTAGGTTACCGTATGTCGATTTGATCTGGAAGAGTGCACATCAGCTATGAATACTCGAGGACGACCAACAGCTCGGGTATCATCAAAAGGAATAAAAGACGACTTTCACTAGAAAACCTTACCTTAGGCAAATAGACACTCTCTCTAAGTGGTCGCATCATCACTTCTAAAATTTCACGTCACACTTATGAGAAAACGCCTCTCTAACGACCAAATATTCTCTGACAATTCGATTACATATCACAATGATTACATGTATATAAAATGGTGAGCACATAGATTGTCCTAGAGAGAATTACTGTAATCTTCTTATTTTTCTTTTAGCAATATATTTCAAGGGATAAAAGTTTCTACTATAGTGGACTAATTCGATTCCTCAACCGAACGAACCACTTTTATCTCTATCTTTACTTGTCCATTTTTTTCAAGTACACTCGATAGACTTCACATACAGCTCACCCAATTCATTTCAGGTGACGCTTGGTTTTTTTCACCATCATTGTAAATTAATGGACTTTGACATTTTGATACATACCCATTAAAGATTTCAATGGCGCTTTACATGTAATCTTTCAAGCATAAAGTAACCTGATAGTGAAATGACATTTGCAGCCACTAATGGGCATAAAAGAACGGCATTAGGCGATAGTTAGTGTACTATTTGATAACGCCATTTAAAGTATTTTTGATATTTTTTTTAACTATTCTTTTTAAGCATTGTTTTGGGTTTTTTTTGTCTTTTCCTTCTCTAGTTTCTTATTTTTTGGAATATTAATTGCAAGAATAAAAAATACACATTATTTTATACAGTATATGTGTGTGTGTGTAGGGGGGGGTAATGAATCTCTTTTATAAAATAGTAACTAGTGAAAATTGAGACTGAATCCTCTTAAATGGACTTATAATGACTTGAGTTCGGTAATAAAATTTATTTGGAGGTAAGTCTATTTTTAAACTTATATGTAGGTACTTAAGCCCACTTTTTTCTTTTTTTTTTTTAATTTTAAAAATACTCTTAACGGTGTTAATTTTGTTCAGTTATGAAAGCCGTAAAAGTTAATTCATCTGTCACAATCTTTCCATAACTCTCTCTCTCGCCCCATATAACTTCCATTTCCTAAACAGACTCACAAGCTGCCATTTTTGTCTCCCAAAAAATCAAAGTCCCATAGGCTATTGTCACCGCCAATCTAAAAATCCCAACCCATCGCCTTTAGCAACCCACTAAACCTCTCCTATCCGTTACTCCCACAGCATCAAACCCACCCACCAAAAACTTCGACGAAATATCCCGAAGCATGTGATTATTTTTTCAATTCTTGAAATACCATGTTACTACTTTTTTTTTTTTTTTTTTTTTTTTTTGCGCATGTTACTACTTTTTTGGATGATCAGCGAGGTTTCGATTTATGTCTTGATTTAGTTGATTGTGTATTTTTGTGAAAAAGACGACGTTGTACTGGAACAATTTTTTTCCATGTTACTATTTCTGTTTTGTTGGGCTTGTTCATATTACTACCTTTTTCGTGTTACTAATTTTTTTTTTGATAAGCATGTTACTGTTAATATTTTCGAAAATATCAATATCCAATGTTACTATTTTTTGTTTAGTATGTTACTATTGATTTTTTTCAAATATTAATATACAATGTTACTATTTTTTATTTTTTGAATGTTACTATGTTTTTGTATTTAAAGGGTACTATTTTTTGTGTTTAAATTATACTATTTTTTGTGTTTGAATGTTACTATTTTTTGTTTTTAATATTAACATTAAATATTATTATTTTTCTGAAATATAAATATTAAATGTTACTATTTTTTATTGAGTATGTTACTATTTTTTTTTCAAATATTAATATACAATATTACTATTTTTTATTTTTTTGTGATTAAATGATACTTTTTTTTAAATATTTGAATGTTACTATTTTTTATTTCTAATATTACTATATATATATTGTGCTGTCTCTAAAAACAGGGGTCCTTTGTCAATTCGTTGACCAACTGTCAACTCGTAGAAACAACCGTGAATATCACATAACCCGACATCACGCCAATAACATCCTTGTAACCAAGACCATGCCCACCCATTTGTGGTCCTTTACATATTAGTTTATCGTCAGTCATATCCCATAGAACATCTTTGAGCAAGAGGAAACAATGTCCAAGAGCTTAGTAAAACCTTTCAAAAAAAAATTTGAAGTTTTAAGAAAACCTAACTATAGAAGTGTTCAAAAACCTACCGGTAGAAATTATGTACTGGAATCCTGTTTTTAGACAATCTAAGAAAATCTACAAGTAGAAGAGTGACGTTCTATCGGTAGGTGTGCCTAAATTTGCTTGTTTCACCTATTTTCGATTTTCAATCCACTCCAATCCATTCCATATCAACTCAACACATGAATAATGAAGTTTTTCATATAAAACATGGTCTATAAAAATTCTATTACAATCATTTCCATATATTTACATGTCCAAAACCAAATTTCACAAAAGTTTTACAAAAGATGGTTTAAAAGCCACAAGTCAGCTTTGCTTCATCCTTGAGGCTCCAAATGTGAGCCGTCCACCTGTGTATAACTCGCAATTGAAATATTTTCTCATAAAGGGTGAGCCACGCTCAATAGAGTATCTCCTAAAGAGACTACTCCCCAACTTAGATGCATATGAAATGTTCACATGCACAATTTCAGAAGTAACAAACCTCTCAATCAAGGATATGCAATTCAATGATGAGAATTACCATGTCATGCCATGAAATGAGATGAGACTCACTCATGCAACTCAACCCGCCTTTATCGGCTCCCACAACCCATGCAATGCCATGAGTATAAAACCGAGCATTTCAAACCATTGCCATTGATGTTAGACATCCAATGCCAGTTTCGTACACAGTTACACTTTTTTGGACTTGCACCGACGAAAGTGTATAAACCAGTAACCGTCTTGCACCCGAGGAGTATCTAGCCCTTTGTGCTATATCTGACATAAGTTTTTTATGCAACCGTGCGACTCTGTCAGACCTTGGTCCGACTGTACCGATCCCACTTATCACTACTAAGAGTGATGTTTGATTTAAAAACATGCACACACACCTACACTCATGTCTAATGCCCACAAATACGAT